ACACAAGTCCGAGAACCCGGGAAGAAATCACCAAATTGGGTTGGACGGTGCTGCCCCATCCACCCTCCGACTCCATCTCTTTGGGCCCCTTAAAGATGCTATCCGCGGAACAAGATTTGAAGATGACGAGAGCGTGATTCAAGCAGTGAGGACATGGCTACGTGCACAGGACAAGAGCTGGTACCGGCAAGGCATGCATGCCCTTGTTCCACGCTGGCGTAAAACCGTACAAGTTGATGGGGACTATGTGGAAAAATAGTATGTGTAAAGGAAACATTGATTTATATTGTCACTAAATTTGAGCCATCTTGAATAAATATGTTCTGAGGAAAAAAATGTGGGGCATTACTTAATGAGCGACCCTCGTATATTGGTCAGCAAGGACGTAGCCCGGGGACAATATGTGTACTCCGTACTCTTCATAGATGAAAAGCTTCTAGAACATTCCGTAGATTTTATGAAGGTGTCCTCTGGCACTTGCCTCATTCTCGGAATCTGGCTGATGTTTTATTAATTATTTCTAAATAGTACATTTGTGGAGCGAGTGTCACAGTGTGTCCGATTTCATGAAAACAACTTAATTATCAAAAGAGGATAACATCGGGGAAAGTCCGAGTTACAAAATTGGGCAGGTGTGTTCATATACATGAATATAATAAAGGTTTTTACAATAAAGTACCAGAGCTAAAATTCATTACAATGTGTAACTAATTCCCATATTACATGACTTAACATTCATATGCGACAAATATAATATGAAACTAGCAACTAAAAACAATATAATATTACCTAATACTCATATACAACATAAGAATGCATGTACTTCTCGAGACACAAGCAATAGCACTAAATAGGGCATTGACAAGTACAGATATCGACGAGCAAGGAAATTACTCTGTCGAAGCAATTTGTATTAATTATGACTTATTTATAACTTGTGTTGGGCAAGGCCGTGGTCTAGGCAACACGGAGTTTTCCTCCGTGGCATCCCAACAATTACTCCATTCACACACAGAAGAAGGCAATAGCAAACCACTTCTGGATCATCTGCCAAGAACGTATATGAACAGGTCCCAGTCCGAGAAAAGGATGGAAGGATCCTGTTCATATGGACCTGTCGTCAGACAGAACACTAAATAAATATAAAATAAATTTACAAAGTCTTCACTTTCAGGAGAATGCATCAGTTGGCTTAAAGTTGAGATGATAAAGTTGCGTCATATTGTGATAAATATATATTTGTTTAAATCTTGTCAGTCTAATCACAATAAAATTCCTATTAAATATTAAAATATTACTATAATTAACATTTAAATATTTAAAATATATTAAATGATGTTCTCTATCGAAATGTTCGATTTACATTAGATCATCACTTTTTTGCTTAAAGTTATTAAAGAGAACAGACAGGCACAGGCACTCACATGTTACCATCAGCAAAACTTTCCTCAGAAAGGAAAATAAGATTAAATTTACTACTCCACCCACTTTTCTATCGGGAATCCAGCGCCAGAGAGAAGAGATGAAATAAAGAAGTTCTGCATTCAAGATCAATGATGCGGTTTCAGTTGCCATATAAGGAGACATGTTTTGAGTTTTCTGCGTAACACAGTTTCTATATTGAGGTTTACGTGCCACCTTCACTAACGTGTTTTTGTACTGCTCGACACACGTCACGTTTGTGCCCTCCTTACATCCAAGACATTTGAAACACGAATGTTGCAAAAACAGATATTCTCGGCTAGCTGGGGTCTGAATACAGCACCGGCAATGACTCGTCGCCATGCCCAAAACAACATCACAGGCGTACCGAGCGGCTTCCTTGGGGAGACACATTGTACTTTTATATTTTGTTTGATTAAAATCATTTTGCAAGTAACTCCTCTTTAATTGACAGTCATATATATGCTACGAAAACAACTTAAATGAAACTGTGAACTTGAGCGAGGGCATTGTTGTTTAATTGGGCAATCTCATTCTGGCAGCGATACCCCCTAGGAGGGTCATCGCAAGTAAAAAAGGTCCGAATCACACCGTGGGAAGAAATGTAAGAAACAGGATTCAGTAAAATTCATTTCGGTGTTTCGCTTCCAAAATCTGTCCCGATAAATTTGACGTTGTTATGGTACTTTCAGGGCAACAGGAAGGGGGGATTCTTTGTGTGATGGGATGACTAACATTTTTATTCCACCAGGACTTCAGCATATTTCTATCTTACAAGGAAACATGAGCTCAAGACACATGTTTCTTTGGTCTTGGGGCCAGCTGGATTTATTCAACATATTACACATTCAATTGTAGTTAAAACTATTTATGTTTGGTTGCGCTTGAAAACGCTGAAAGAATGACATCCGAAACCATTGTTCTCTTTTGATTATCGTTTCCGTTCTTATGGTTTGTCAGTCTTAATTCACATGACGTCTTTCTGTAGGCTTACCTTAATTTAAGCTACGACTGCTTCCTTACTCATTTATTATTTGCTTAATTACTCGTCATTTGACGCTATATAATCTATGCAATTGAATACGTCATTAGACAAACTAGGAATAAATAAATACCTGTAAATCGATTATTAGTACGATCTTACCGCTTCTGTTTCTGAATGATCCCAAGTAGTCTTCTTTGGTGCGTCAAAATTCCATTACTCGCAATAATGATACGAAATTTCACTGTCAATCACAGACCAAGCACTGGTAATTTACACATAATTATATCGGAACAGTATTGTAGATTATAGTCCCAACACAGCGTAATCACTTTCAAAGCTGACGTGGAAACCGACAGCCATCAGAACGCTCGAACACAACAAACACTGATTATTGTGCCACTACAGATGCGCAAAGAACGGAACTGGGACACGAAGGATTGTTGTCGGCGAACTTGAGCTACATTCCGTCTCCACTGCACTTGACGTGTGCACGAATAATCGTCAGAAACTAGTGACCTCTTGCCTCAAGCTATTGGCATCTCAAAGAAACCAAACAAACTCGTTCTTCTATTTCTTGATGCAAGTTGCCCAGACAACTTCCTTGAATTATTGACTCTTCTGCAGTGGCGTAGCAGACAGCCATAGACACAAGTAATCTTGCTAAAGTTGTTCCTGGAGCACCAGGCCTTACAGTCATACAGTCGATACATTCTTACCCTCGCCCTAAATGTGGATGTGTGGTCGGCTTCAGGCTCCGGCCGCTTTACCCCTGAGAAAGGAGCCCCCTGCTGTTCATTAGACAGGATGCTGGCCGATGAGCTCTGATGATCGAGGCAGCAAGGACTTCTGAAGCGTCGGTAAATTTCTATCAGACTACACGGCGGTACAGCCCAGAAGACAGCCATCTTCTTTCGGCATAAATTATGCCGCGAACTGCTTCTGGTCCACACTGCTTATGCACGATGCTCAGCTTTGTAAGGTGTGTTGTTTGCCCGTATAAACCGACATGTCAGATTCTAGTCTTTAGCCCGAAGATAGCAGACACGGCACTGGTCTAGTAAATCTGGGCTGCACATAATGGCACACTGCTTTGCAGTTTACAGAGGTCTATAACGTCAAATACGTCGTAAGTTCCAATTAGATACTTCTTGGTTCCCTTTCACCGTAGTTCAGAAGTTTCTGGACCGGTACTACTAAACATGAATGTTGATCCAAGTTACATCAGTCGAGGGGAATATTCTGCTACAATATCAACTCTCCTTTTTTTTGCGTAACGGACGGATTAACGGGTTTTGCCTCTTCCACTAATACAACTTCAAGTTCTACTTTTTCCACAGATGACACGTTGCACAGCACATTAAATGCACTTGCCTGCGTTGGTAATACCATACCTCAACATGTCTAAAGGGTTGAGACGTAATTACAAGGTGTAACTTAATGTTAAGACTGAATCACAATGTACTACACATGACACAAAATAAACATAACTTTAAATAAATGTAAAGTAAGAAGCTCTTCCAACACAATGAAATAAATGTGAATTTATGGCAATAATATTAGAGTATGAATTACACTAGACAATATAATTATTAAATCAATACCAGAGTTTATGTATAACGTGTAGCTTAACTCAAATCGTAGAAGGTGTATGAGAATAAACTTATAAGGACCAATCATACAAAGAAGTAACTGACAAATGTCATCAAATAAATGTTAACAGAAATACAAATGGAAATACAGTCAGCAAAATTCATTCATCACTTTTAAAAACACACTAGTCGACTACAGCGTAATCAGATTTATTTAAAGTAATGTGAATTTAAAGATAAATGTTTTCCACTACGAGGTACATTATAATGAAGTAATTTCTTTGAGAACTGTGTTTGAAAATTGAGTAATTTACCACTATGGTGATGTTTCTTGGCCAGCTCGTTTAGCCTATCTGTCGGCATGTGATTTCTTTTTATGGGGTTATTTAAAAAGCAGTCTTTTAAACATATCCGGCAGACCTAAATAATTTCAGAGAATTTCTGAAGAAATTAATGCCATATCACTGGCTGTTACTCATTGTAATGGAACCTAAAATAAATCCTACTTTGTTATATTATACCTCGATAAAGCCAAACACTTGTATTTCAATCCACAGTACTTTGAATAAATCTGAATAAACAGTGGTTGACAAGAGTATCTTTTAAAATGATGAATGAATGCTGCCCCAACCTGTACAAAACTTTACTGAAAAAGGAAATTTGAAGTGTGTTGGCGTAAACTGAGTAATGGAGCGACATTTTACAGAAAGTTTCCTGTCCCCATCATTAGGGTGCTCAATAAGCTATGTACCCATATCAATAAAATCTTCTCAGGCGAACAGTTGCATCGACTGGTTTCTTCTTTTAACCAGTTGACACGGCTGATTGCCCGATAAGATTTTACTGAGTTATGTTGCTGCAAAAGCTTCAAATCATATGTTTGGCTATGTTGGTAAGTTGTGGTAGATGTACTATATGAGCAGATAGGATAAGCCAGAGTTTTGGCAAGGCCAATGGAAGTGTGGAGAACCAGAGTAAGGGAAGGTACAGCAGAACTGATGGAAGAAAGAATTAATGAGATACACTAACATAAATAGGTACAAATTTTCAAAATAATGATAGCCCTTTGAAATCCTCCTCCTCGATCCGTCGCCCTGCTAGGGCATGGTGGCATCCCTTTGAAATACATGATATTATTATTTTTATTTCTTTGTTATTTCTATTTTATTTTACTTATTTTGGTTCTACTATCACCCCGATGGTGGAGGTAATAAACTCTTCAGAAATGTCAGTTTCTACCAGACTACATGGTCCTACATTCCAGAGGACAATCACTTTCATAAGTATTATAAATTCTTTAAGAAATGTCATTTCATTTTGGATATTATAATGCATATAATAATCTGACAAGGTGATGAGAGTAACTATGTAATTCTGTGTTCTGTATGGTCTAGATGAAGATATGTGTTATAAGTATGTGGCATTCTTTCATTCAGGACAACTGTGCAGAGTATATTGTTCTGCACACTTTTGTTAGATTAGGTTAGATTATCCGTGAATGGAACAAGAAAACGCTGGTTTCACATATCGAATTCATAAATATACATTTTCAATGGACAATGAACTTTTATTTGTGTAAGAGTTTTAATGGCAGAAAGAACAAATTGAAGAACAAAATTTTTGTAGACGTTTTATAGCGATACTGTTGTTATACTGCAAAAAAATAAAAAGGTTCAGAAAGAAAACAAATTATCTAATATCAAACATTATTAGTGCTGTTTGTAACTGCACATTCAATGGGAAAAAATGTTTATTATGTCTTATATACAACAATTTTTACCGTGGATATGCACACATAAAATAAAATAAACAATTTGAGTCTTTACAATTAGAACAAGGCCAAACAATATTGTAACCTGAATTACCATGTCTGTAAGAAGTTTCAGATCAGCATCTCTGCATTCACAAAACTTGACCACAACTGCGTACCTGGATAGATGCTTCTTAAGTGAGCTTTTTGTATGTGGAGACTCCATATTTAAGTACATTATAACCAAGTGGTCATATAGATCAATTGGATTATTCATGATCTTCACACACAACTACAAATCAGGACACTGACTAACTTCAATTTGCATTCTTTTAATGTCTGTTGCCTAAGCTTTTCTGTGAGTTTTCTAAGATATCTTTGTTTCAGTATCTCACACATTAATGAATGCAAGGGTAGCAATGATACTTCAGTGATAATCCCTTTCAGTCTAAAATAATATCTCTCTATAAGACCTGATTTTATTATGTTCAGGACCATGTGGTTCAGTTTTAAGTGAATGAAGTTTTTTTATTTTCATACATTACAATAACTCTTATTTCTAATAATATGCTGTGGCTAATACAATCAACAAATTCCACAAAGACACTTGTTGCAGCATTTTGCTGTGGAAGCTATATTAGTGGGCCATTGAGCATGTTATCAGCTGTTTTGAGCTAATAAAACATAAGATATCTGAGAAGAATCAATTAAATTTATAGCTTCCTACGATTTAATATATTTTCTTCTTGCAGAGATTATAATGCAGCATTAATTGGTTTCATGCCTCAAATATCTTGCTGCTTTGTGACATGATTAATACAACTGATCTCTAATTCTGGTTTGTGACAGCACAGACTAGGATATGAAACCTCTATGACCCTTTCTACTTAGGAACATCAAGTGAGGGAAAGGAGTAATTTTTGTAGAAATGTTTTAGTTTAATATGAATATTAAAATTTTCTACCTATTTCCTTTGTGTGTTGTTACTACATGAGAGTTATAGTTTTTTAAAATTTTTATAACTCTACAATATAGGATTTTTAAAAGTATTATTAGTCCTCCAGTTGAGGTACCTTTCCCAATTTTTCTTGTCACAAAAAGAGTATACTTTTTCCTTAATATCAGTAATATTGTAGCATTCAAAGCACACATAAATGAAGAATTAAAACAAAATTTCTTATGTTAAAGTAAAGTATAAATATATAAACTACACTTCATCTGTAGAATAGTACATTTGCAGTAGAGAAAGGTTCCTCAAACCATTTGGTATGATTTAATTTCCATCATGCTGTGTCCATGGAATGTAGGTATTGACTTATATTTTTCCACTGTCTTTTGATCACAATCATAATAATATTTATGTAGTCCATAAATAGAAAGTTGTAAATAATACAGTAAAGGATTCAGAAAGAAAATACAACTTATGATGACAGTTTGAAAACATACTGTCATGGTTAACTACCTACTTTTTTATTTGTTAATATACTCCATGACATTGAAGATTTATACTGATCAATATTTGAAATCTGAATAATTTTTATTCTAGAAGTATTTCCCTTTATTAATTAACATTTTCACTTGCAGAAAAGACCACTTCTGTTGATCTTGTAATCAACTGTTTCAAAAAACCCTGCTCTTCTGTTCCTATCCCACATTATTTTTAGGGTTCAGATATTACATGTTTGTTCACTTATAATTCAAAGTGGGCACACTGTTTCTATAGATTTTTATTCATTTAAGGAAGTGTAAACTTATTATGTGTGCAGGTATAAAAAAATTAAAAATTATCTGGTCATTTTTTGTTGTTTTAATGTAATAAATTATACCTTACTCTAATAAGTTTATTAAAGAATAAAAATTATTTAAAAATCTAAGGAAACATATTATAGTCAAATGTTATGTCAAATTAGAGTCACATCATATATGTATATCAAAAACACTCACACAAAGTAAGAAATCTTAGTTGTATCCCAGAAATTAAAGACACACACCGGTAAATATAGAGTATAAATCATATTATACTCCTTAAAACAAAGCTTAATTTTTAATAATTCATAAGAAAACTAATACCAACAAATCTGCTACCTAACATTCTACATGCAGGTATAATGTTAAAATTTTGTTTTATAGAGTTAGCTATACCCAAAACTGATTTTTTTGACAATGCATAATTAATTTCAGACAATTTTCAAAATTAATCCATAATACTGTGTTATTTTATTACAATGTTTTTATATTGTGAAGAATTCAAATACCACTTTTCTTACTTTGTTGAGCATGTCTCATTCAGCTTGTGTAATGTGATGGAATGACTTTCCAAAATATTTTTATATGGCATCTGAACCATTAAGTCAGAAAATTAAAACTCTGGTAAGGTTACGTACTATGATGAAGGTGAAATTTTAAGAGGAAAAGAAAATCAGGACAATATACTGTGTTTGCTATATTTATGAAAATATTAAAGATTTTCTTATAATGGAATATTTAAAATATATTTTCTTTATATACCACAGCACTAACATGATCTGAACTTATCCTCAATAATATGGAAATGAAAGGCAAAATATGAGAACTCTAGATATACAACAATATCTCTAGAGCCATAATAAAAGTAAACTTTGATAAAGTATCATTCAAGAAGCAAAGTAATTTATTTCCTATCCACGGGGAAATATGTACAAAACAAAACTTGTCCTGAACATTAAAGATAGCTTCTTCTTTTTTTAGTAATCACCATTCCCCCATCTGGTATGTGATATTGAATAAAGAAGAACAAAAAGATATTCTTCAGATTGGTGTCTAGAAAAGGGATTTTCAACAGGTGGCTCACAAACTCCATGCAGCTCTTTAAGTATCTGTTAATAATAGCCTAAATAAACAAATGAGTCTGCA